CACGGCGCGGGGCGGCATCGGGGCGGGGCTCCCCGCCCGGACACGGCGCGGGCCGGCGTCGGCCTTTCACTCCGCGCGCCGGGACGCGGGCACCTTGGCCTTGGAAGCGCATCCTCGTTCCCGGGACGGACGGGGGCCCGAGGAGCCGGCTTAGGGGTCCGCATGGGGGGCAGGTGCGCAGATCCCCAGAGGGGGCGCGGGCACCCTCACCCGCCTGGGAAGCACGGCCTGGGACCGACAGGGACTCTGGCTGGCCTGGGGCCTGGAGGCTTAGGGATCTATAAGGGGGGCGGCTGGGCCGATCCCCAGAGGGACGGTGGAGGTGGCGCGGGTGTCTTCCTGGATCAGACTGTTCCCTCGCTCATCTCCCCCTCGAATTCCCTTCCCCAAATCCAAGTTTTGTCACGGATGGAGGCTCTTGGGAATCTACTGAAAAGAAAATTAATGAGTCGAAGAGAGTTGGAATGAACTTTTAGTATTTGTCTCTTGGTGTCTATGCTGCTTTCTGAACTGCCCCTTCCTAAAGTCTCAGTACCTTGAGGGGTACTGGTGGTGTGGGATAGACGGTCCTCGCTGTATTTCCCTGTCACATGAGGCTGTTTCTGCACATGTAGCAACAGCGTTACCTTCTCAGAGGCGTGATTGGGCCTTTAGTACATGCCTGTATCTGTACAAATTATAACACGGCTGCGCTGTGTTCAGCGGTATATACCACGATGAGGTCGCCGTTCCCAGTCCCACGTGCAGTAGATTTTCTAGTAGTAATTAGGTGACCTTTACAGTGCTAGTTTCTCTAGACTTGTTTTGGGTCCAGGTTTCTTAAGTGGTCTTTATCATGAGAGATTTCTTATAATGCTTTAAATCCGCTGTAATCTTGGCATTCACCTTTAAGTGAATTTTTTTGCAAATATCACTCTCAGTGCCTTGAAACAGTGCTCTGGTGCCAACTTCACAGAGCCTTCTGTACTACTTCCTCTTTCCCTCCTGATTTGGCAGCTGGATTCCCTTTCAGGAACTGATAGGAGGCACCCTTCCTGGCCTGCCAGCGGGGCAGCTGGAGATGCTGAAGTTGGCAGCAGCACTGCCCTGGACCTGCTGTTTTAGCTCACACACAGACGTCCTGAGAAGAACTTGAACTTGGGGTTGTGGCGTCAGTTCCAGATGGCCTGGAAGTAGTGTTAACATTGTTAGGAAAATTTAGAAGTCACATATTTGTTTGTTTATACCCCGTCTCATTCTACAAAGAACTTGTGGAGTGTCTTGCAGTATAATACTAATAAATAAATAAAAGCCTGGTTTTTATTTTCATCCTCTTAGAAGGCTACACTGAGGTGGGCTGAGAGACCAGTTGTTCCTCCGGAAGGTATATTTGTCCAGGTTTGTGGAATGTTAAATTGAGACTCTAAAGTGGTGTGCCGTAGAGCAGAGCTCCCAAACCTTTCTCACCTCGTGCCACAGGCAGTCCCGGTCAAGTTTGTGTGGCTCCCAGAGAAGAGGCAGTGTGTTGCCCAGCGGCCCAGCCTCCCCGGGCCTAAGGGATTCATGTCGAAGGTGTCCGTGTGCCTTGGCACCGCTTCTCCAGATGCTGAGGCCACGTCCCACATACAGCAACTAGAAGGATGTGCAACTATGACATACAACTATCTGCTGGGGCTTTGGGGGAAAAAAAAAGGAGGATTGGCAATAGGTGTTAGCTCAGAGCCGGTCTTCCTCAGCAAAAACAGGAGGATTAGCATGGATGTTAGCTCAGGGCTGATCTTTCTCACAAAAAAAAAAAAACTGAATCTGTTGTTTAGATGGAAGGTAAAAGAAATCTAAGATACATTGCCCTGTTTTACTTTTTCTTTTCCTTATTTTTTTTTTTTTTTGAATTTAGGACTGGATACTCTCTGAAGGTAAGGGTTATGTCTCTTTTGGTCACCACTGTTTCTCCCATGCCTGGCACTAATTTTTTTTTTAAATTAATTAATTAATTTTTCCCCCCAAAGCCCCAGTAGATAGTTGTATGTCATAGCTGCACATCCTTCTAGTTGCTGTATGTGGGACGCGGCCTCAGCATGGCCGGAGAAGCGGTGCATCCGTGCGCGCCCGGATCCGAACCTGGGCTGCCAGTAGCGGAGCGCACGCACTTAACCGCTAAGCCACGGGGCCGGCCCCTGGCACTAATTAAATGTTAATTAAATTGATCAACTAAAGAATGAATGAGTGATTTGGTGAGTGCATACAGAGACCAGGCTTGTTCCTCTGGTTTGGGTGGTATCATTGGAGTGGGGGCTTTGAGGAAGATGCCAAGCAAATGTTACTGCGCCAGGTCCATTTTTGCCTGCCGCCCAGAAAACCAATCACCGAGACGACAAGATTGCAGAGAGAGAGAGGGTGTAATCACAAGGCAGCGAAGTGAGGAAACAAGAGAATAGGTCTCAAATCCACTTCCCTGAAAATAGGGACTCAGGGATATTTATGGGGTAGGGGGCAAGGTCATCTGAAATGTGGAGATAGATGATTGGAGGTGAGGAGAGGTGAGGTAACTGAAAATCTGCACAAGCGTAGTCAGACTTTATGCCTCTTCATAGGACGTGTGTTCACAAAATGGTGGCGTTGGCATGACCTGAGGGTGGAGTTTTTAGCCACTTGACGTCAAAAGGTGGCTTATCAGACATCTGCGTGGGCCCAGTTGATGGGTTGTTGGTCTCAACTGGCCTGAAGTGGACAAGGGGCTCTAATTCCTGAAAAATAGTTCAAACACCCATTACCATGGTGACCCAGGCTTGAACGAGCTGTTATCTATAGGAACCTAGTGGGAGCCAGATAGCATGTTGCCTAAACAGCACAGTTGACAATGGGTGGGGGAGCAACTAAAAGCTACAATCAGTAAGGAAAAAGAAACTTTAGTTCCTAGCTACTGATTCATCAATGGCTAACTGTTTGCCCATTTCACAAACACCAGCATGGCACTGTGGGAGTGTGCTACACATGTCCTCCGGCTGAGGAGGGGTGGCTTTCTCCCCGCCTTTCTTACTAACAGAGCTCTGGGTGACAATGTTCCCAATTAAGATGCACATCTACCTTGCCTCCCCTACTGTGAGGGTGGCCACATGACACAGTTCTGGCCAGTAGTGTCTAAGTGGAGGACTTTGGGGAGCTTCTGGAAAAATTTAAGAGCCAGACTCATCTGTAATGTTTCTCTTTGCCCTTTCCCTTTGTTCTCACTTGGATTGCAGGCATTATGATTAGAGCTACAGCAGCCCATAGTTGAAGGTGGTAGAGAAGAAAGACAGGAGTCTGGATCCTGCTTGGCATTGTTGAATAGCTGCCCAGCTTTACCTTTGCCTGGGCTTCTTGTTATGTGAGAAAAATAAGTCACTTTATGTCATCGTAGTTGAGTATTTTGTTACCTGTAACCTAACGCAGTGATTAGGAATCTGACTCAGGAATCAAAAGCAAAAGACCTTAGATGTTCTTAACTGCTTTCTCGATTAGGACAAAGAGTATTTTGTTGATCAACAGTGGAACAGTTATGCTTAGATCCTGCTTGTTCCCCCAAAGAAAAATACTAAAGTATGACTAAAGATGGGATAGATTTTTGAGGGTATATCTATTACACAAACATATCTGAAATGTGAAGAAAATAAAAGCTTATAATTTTGAAAATAGTATAAATGACACTTTGGGATATTCCAGGGGGTCTGGCCAGTGTTAATTAGGGTAAGGGGCCTGCCATTCAACTAAGAGCTTTTGGAGGCAAAATATCTCCCCCCCCCCCCCCCGCCCCCAACCTTTTTCAGCCTGAGAGCTCTTATCAAAAGTGTTGTAAATGAAGTCACTGGAGCTGAGCTGGGGAGAGCTCAGAGATCCGCAAAATGCTGAGAAAGCACTGGGGAGATAAGGACTGAAAGAAATAAAACACCACCCACCACAGAAATGTTTTCACAGTTCCATTCATTGCAGGGATGATGATGTCCTCAATCCTGCCTTGCTTACTAGCCTCTTCCTGTCACCTGTTCATGAATTCTTAACAGGAGGCCCAGAGTCCCTGAGATTGATCACAGAATTTGGACTCGGTGAGCTGCTTGAAGATGGGAACCTTGTCCATCTTGTTTTGCCCTGTATAAACAGCCCCAAATGTTACGTCCTAGCACATGATAGGAGCTCAAAACATATTTGTCAATTGATTGGAATTCAATTTCTGATGTTTTCTAAAAGCTTTTTAAAATGTGCACAGGTGTAATAGTTAGACTAGGTTAAATAAGTAACTTTTTAAAGTGGAAAGTGGGAAGGAACAGCTTCTTATACGTTGAGCTTGCAAATCTAATTTTAAGGTGATAATGAACAATATCAGGGCATCAATTTTA